GTATGGTAGCTCTATTTTCAACTTTTTGAGGAACCTCCATACAGTTTTCCAGAGTGGCTGCACCAGCTTGCATTCCCACCAACAGTGTAGGAGGGCTAAGATCGCTTTCTTTCACAAAACTGAGATGTAGGTAAGGCATTAATGACAATCGGAATGAAAGTCATTGGTATGGTTTGATTTCTGTTTTTACAGATGTCAGTTTTCTTTACATGTAACATATAAACAATTACTTCAGAGTAATTGTAAAGTAGTAAAATGTAAATTTCCTAAACAATAGTTAAATTTAGCATTGAATTCCACAATAATTTTGCTTAGCTCAAATACAACAGTCATCAATGTGAAATCTGGGTATCAATGATGTCAATCAACAAACGTGTTGAGTGCTGGTGACATGCCCTAATAGTCCTCTGAATGGAGGAGAGGGTGTGGGGATGCGCAGAACAAGTTAGTGTAGAACTAAAAGGGCAAGAAATACAGGAACAAATTAGCAGCAATGCAAGACAGCATATAGGAAAACATATGATAAAATCCAAAGGAGTAAATTCTATAGGGTCCATGGAGAAATGAGGACTGCGGATCTTAGTACAAAAGTCAAGAACCAGAGCATAAAGTTCACGCTTACCAATTATAAAATAAAGCGTAACCCCAATCTTTGAAACAGGGTTCCTTAAAGGCCCAGGAAATAGATAGGACTCCACATGAGCTGCATTCTTCTCTCCCTATATGTTAAACCCTCTATTTTCTTCATGCTTTATTTGACACACCAAGGTCTTCATATTCTGCTGTACTTGAGATGTTCTGACAGTAAGAACGAGCACCGAGTTGACATCTACGGAAGTACTTGTACCTGACTGGAAAGAAGGTGCACTCCCTGCTTGGGATGCCAGGACTTTTAAATAATTCACTGCACTTTGGTAGGAAACTCTTCACAATGACTTGATCTCCTGACATTTTAAATACATCTCCTTTTTACTGTGCTAAAATGACAAAGACAGCAGCTTCTATGGGGCTTTATTCTTTTCCAGATAACCATTTTGGTATTAATAAACGAAATGCAGTTTTAAATTTCAATAATATAAATGAGAGCACAGAAGCGTAAATCGATCCAATCTCCTGTGTTATCCAAGATTTAGCAGCCTTTGTATGAATGAACACTCATGTGCAATATTCAGATGATTTCCAATAGGCCAATCTGAATGAGCGACTGGTGGGGCTGTGCGAGAGGTCAGGGGAAATATTTCACACAGCATGCCTGGTGATGATGAGTCGTGGGGCTGAATAAATGATTAAATGTGTTCACAGAGATTAGGAATTTATACCCTGATCACCCCAGAACCTCTGATCCCCTCTGAAATGCTTAAGTCCAAGTCCCTGGGCTGGCTCCAAAGCCCTAACAATCCCTTTCTTCAGCAACTCAGGACAGATAGGGAAGCTTAGATTCCACACAAATCTAAATGAATCCCCAGCTGTAATCCCCAGCTGGTTGATATACAACCTGGGGGTTTTGGCAACATGTTTAATAAGTATTTGGAAGCCACACAAATCCTAGCTCACCTGCCTGTAACTATTCCTCCTCTCAACAAAGTTTTTCTTAACCAATTGATTTTCATGATGAGCATTCATTGCTGCTTTGGATCACTGGATGGCCCCCCAGCATGTGAGGGGAGCTTGATACTTTGGAGGTCCATGGACCTGCACCCTCACTGCCCATCTCTGACTCATTCAGTCCTTGTTTCCATGCCCATTTCTGCCCATTTGCACCAAGCTCTGTGCTCTATCCTGTATCTGTCCTGTAAATGACCTGAAACTTACTCACACCGAGGTACAAGTGACCTAAATGTAATTTACATTTTTAACACAAGACCCAGAGTTTTAAAAAGATAGTGAAATTACAACAATGACATTTCAGGCAACTTATTCTGGGATTTATCATCTTCTGCAGATCATACTTAAATTGGCTTATATAAAGTACAGCTTGGTTCCCTATAGGCTAAGGTCAGAATTCAGTCTTTTATTCTTCTATACACTTCTATATACTTTTCTCCAACTCTATACATTGATTTCATTGTGAATTAGGGTGGTCTTCATGGCCATTTGCTATGTGCATTTCCCATACTGCTCTAGACTGCAGAATTAGGAAAGATAACCAATCATGTAATTCTCTTCACCTTCATGCAGTCTTTGGTCAGTGAGTTCAGCAGTTGGCCAGTCCACAGTTATTAAACACCTTCCAGGAGCTGAGTGCTGACCCAGTGCACGCCTGCTTCTGATCATATTAGTTATGGGACAGAAGACTGAGAGAGAAAGAATTTTTATTTTTGCTGAAGATGTCTTTCCATAAAGTGGTCGTATTTTTTATTTTGTTTTACCTGAGTTGACACCGTAGACAATTCCATAGACACAGCTAACCTTGATGAAATTAATACAGCTAGCTGTAGCCTCAAACAGTGACCAACTAGTATATGCGGTCCTCTAAGACCTGCCTGTATGAAGTCATCATGTGGAGACTGGAAAACCTTTGTTTCAGCAACCAAAAAGGCCTGTGTAATGTGCAGAGCTCTGATACAGTGACAATCCAGAACGCTATCTACCAGAGTGCTCACTAGCTTGTCCACTAA